ACCTGTGACCCAGGGCTGGCTGAAGCTGGAGGGGGGAATCATGGTTTCCTGACCCTGCTGGGATGCACTTTCCCTCTCTTATTCTATATCTCACTCATGGAAGAAAAGATATAGATAAATTTAAATGTGTTTGTGTATATGTGTGTGTATATATAAAATTAGTAGACATTTAGCAAAGCAGATTGCCCTCTATAATGTGAGTGGGCCTCATTCTCTGTGCTGAATGTCTGAACAGAACAAAAGACTGCCTTTTGCAAGAGGAAATTCTGCCCATAGACTGTTTTGGGACCTAAACTGCAACTCCTTCCTGAGTCTCTGGTCTTCAGGCTTCTCCCACCAGGTTTTAGACTTTCCAATACACTACAGTTCCATAAACTAATTCTTTAAGATAAGGCTTTTCCATTATATATGCTCATCCTAGTCATCTATTTCCCTAGAGAACCCTGACTAACACAGAACCATTGACCTTAAGAGACAGACCACGAAATCTAACTTGTATCTAAAGATGGCTGAAGGCCCAAGCCAGCAAAGAGCCCCATATGGGCACTTGCCCATAAGATAATTAAGGAGTCAGTCATCACATGGTCAACAACCTTGGTGACAATGTTCAAAGAGAGAGATAGCGGCCAACGGTCAAGTAAGAAGGAAAGCTCAGAATCAACCCCTGTGACAAAAGCAGATTTCAAAACAACAGAGCATTCCTTTCAGTGTTATTGCAAACACTTTAAAAGACCTTCCCAGAATGATGCAATATCCAAGAACAGCAAGCTAAGCTTTATCCCAAACCACCCATCAACTTGGAATTGTGAAATATCCCCTAGCCAAAGCACATCTGACAGAAAAGAAATGAGATCCCTTACCAAATGAGAGTGGTGTGGAAATAACAGAATTGCTTTTATTTTGATGGATGATCTAATAACAAGATGAAAAAGTGATTAGAAACAATAAAATTAAACCACCAAATATAGTTCTATTTGTTTTATGCTATGGAGTGATTCTCGTATTGGGTAGAAGTTGGACCATATAACTTCTAATTTTAGGAAACATTAAAAAAAAAAAAAGAAGAAGAAGAAGAAAAAGGAAAGAAACATGATGACAATAGTCTTTTACTAGCAACTATCCCTAAGTTGCTGCAAGACCCACAACAACCATCACAAAAGTCGCAGGAATTCAAGTAGACACAAAAAAGTTGAACTACTTTTCCAGCCCCCTTCTCTGGCTACAGACAGCTCAGGTCACACTAGAGAGCTCTCTACAAATCACAATGTGAACCAAGGGGGTGGTCTTAGAGTAGACACAGTAATTTGAGCCTAATCCTTTCCTCAGAGTCACTCAGGGTCATTGCAATGGCTGAGACAGGATTACCGGCCACAGTGCCCTTAAACTCACTGAAGGTAAATGCAGAATCAATAACAGCAAAGGCTTTACTCTGTAGAAGCAACTGTCAGAGAGCTGGGAAGTGACAGCAGAAGGTGGTGGTGTTACCCTAGAGGCACTGAAAGCTCTTCAGAGAAGCTGATACCCTAATGAAGATGTGCTTCCTCTGAAATGACCTGCTAAAATTAGCCTGGATTCTTCACCAAGGCTTTTGAGTCATGCTTGGCAAGGTTTTCCAACTTACCCGCCAGGTGCTAAATACCTCCAATGCTTTTTAGTGAGTTGTTTCTAACCCTCCGGGGAGAGGCTTCTAGCTAGAGCTTTTCTGCAGAGGAGTCCTTTGTGATGTGTTGGTTGCATGCCCACACGCGCACACGTTAAGATAACATGGTGACTGCCATGTAGATTAAAAGTTTCCCCAGAACAGTCATTCATTATCAAGAAAGCACACAACGCATCGTACCATTTTGTCAGTCGAAAATTCTGAAAACAGCCTTTTGTTCATCATTTCGAACAGCGGTGCCCCGCCTTTTCAGCACGAGGGACTGGTTTTGTAGAAGACAGTTTTCCACAGATGGGGAGGGGTAGTTGGGAGGGTGGAGAGGTGGTGCAGAGCAGAGGTGGGTGATGGTTTCAGGTTGATTCAAGCACATTACACTTATTGTGCCCTTGGTGTTTTTAATTATTATTACATTGTAATATACAACTCACCGCAACACTAGACATTTGTTTTTTGACTCATTTGGGTGAGAGTTAGCTTGTGAGCATACCAAAAGTGTGCCTGAAACAAGTGCAGAAAAGAGACACAGACAAAAGTGGTGGAATAAAACCGTGGGCCAGCCACACACAGAATAAAATAAGTGTCGGATCCTGACTTAAAGCCTGCCACTAGATGCAGCGGTACGATTGAGTACATCAATGCACTTGCCACTGTAAAGCCTGCCACCAAATGCAGCTTAATTGCCACTTACCACTCATTGATAGAGTTGTGATATGTGTCTGCGAGCAACAGAGTTATTACAGTCTTTGTGCAGTCAAGCCTCTCTGCTAACGTTAACCAGTACTTGCAGCCACTCTCCAGTGCTAGCATCGCAGCCTCAGCTCCCCCTCAGCTCATCAGACATTAGGTTCCATAAGGAGCACACCACCTAGATCCCTCGCATGCACAGTTCACAATAAGGTTCACACTCCTGTAGAGACAAATGCTGCCACTGCTCTGACAGGAGGCAGGGTTCAGGGGTAATCCAAGTTGTGGGCAGGGACCGTAAATACAAAGGAAGCTTCACTTGCTTACCCGCCGCTCACCTTCTGCAGTGTAGCGGCCCAGTTCCTAGTCAGGGATTGGGGATCCCTAATTTAAAACAATTACTGGGCTAGCCAGTGACCTGTTAGTTAAGGTAGCTAGGCCCATATGGCCTACCATGCAATTTGAGTCCCGGCCCTTATGGCTTGGGGGAAGGGGGAAGGAAAAAAAAAAAAAAAAACACTGGATGCCTGTGCAGGGATGCCCAAAATCCTAAAAAGGGGGAAAGATGGAGGAGAAGGGATTGTGATGGGACCGGGGGGGGGGGGGGGGTGCTCTCTTCTCTCTCTGTCTCTGTCTCTCCCTCCTGTATCCATTGGATTTCCCCTCTAGCACAAAGAAGAGAGAGGGAGCTGTTCATTGGCATTAGTTAGAATGCACATTAGGCAGATCTGTGTGCCACAGCTTTGCAATGCAACACCCTTCTACCATGTGTAGACGGCTCTCCTAAGTCTCTTGCCTTCTGAAAACTTTTCATCAAGTTTCCTGCCTCATCTTTTCTCCAGTTAATTTACCCTTCCCTAGCCTTGTCTGTCATACAAGAACACTAAACATCCCTTCCCCTTTTTTCCATAAAATATGTTGATAAATGAGGCTCCTCCCTCAAGAAAGAGAGCAGATTGGTCCAAACTGGCAGAGATAAAAGATGCCAGGACTAAAGGACAGCCTTAGCTTTGCAAAACCATCTCCTCATGCTTCACAGGCAGGCCTCCGCTTCCCTCCAGTCATTCTCTTCAGCACCAAAAGCAGGGACATAGTTTTGGCTTTGGTTTACATTTGTGTTCCTTTTCAAAGACTTAGCAGAAAGTACTTCCACTATTCTCTTGGGTTCTTGACCACATTCTCCTTCCTCTAGGGACGATCTTAGAGGAAAATGATGTATTTATGCAACTGCAAGGTTATACCTGACTGAGGAGCATCGCAGGCCTTCCAAGATGACAAAGGCAGTATTTGAAAACCTCTTCCAACCTTCCTTTTGTCAGTTAGGCCCACTCTTCTCACTTGCCAAAGTCCACACCACTATACTACGTGTGCTAACCCCGTCGCGTGGAGATGCCACCCAGAAAAATTTGCCTGCACTATCCTTATAGTTGATCTGCAGCAAATCACACTCTTTGGGGACTAGGAGGGTGCACTTTCGCTTAGCATTGACTCCAACAGAAGTATGTGTAGGAACCAGCAGTTAGCGTAATGGCTATGTCACTGGACTCCCATGTAACTGACCACGGTTCAAGTCCCGGATTCGGTGGCTTAAACTCACACCGAGTGCGTGTGCATGCGTGCCCAAGATTCCAAGAGAAGAATGGAGGAGAAGGGATTGCGGCATGGCCATCCCCCCTGGCGGGGGGATTTCTCGCTTTCTGTCTCTCTATCTATCTTTGCGGGACGAGTGCATGCACCCTATCGCAAAAACCTCTCAAAAAAAAAAAAAAAAAAAAAAAAAAAAAGAAGAAGAAGCATGTGTATAACTGGAAGAGGAAAATAAAGGAAAGGATGTCAGAGATCAAAGTAGCAAGGGGTGAGAGAACAGGTTGTCTCCTAAGAGAACAGGCTTCCTACTAAGATGTTCTGTTTCCCTCTGTGAGAATCTTCAAGTGAAGCCTGGAGTCGATCTGCCCAAAATGTCCTAAGGGAAAACCACACTGATGGAGGTGACCTGTGTGGTCCTTTGGCTCCTGGGCTCCTATCCTAACCAGAAAGCAGGAGGCAGAGAAAGAAGCTTCCCCAGCCCTCACACCACACCCACGTGACCAAGGAGAACAGGGCTCAGGTCTGCCATCGTGTTTAGGATGCTGGCTCCACAAAATCAAAATAATGGATCAGCCTTCTTGTCTCTGCTTCTCCTCTGTTCCTTCTCCTTCCTCTTACTTCCACAGCTATGTTTCTGGGGAAATGTGAAACCTAAGGAGGGAACAATCGTGTTTGCATGCAACAGTTCGAAAAACTGCTAAGTAAGCTATTGCATTTACCTTTCCTTTCTTCCACGTCTCGTAATTCTACTACTACAAATAATGACTACTTACTTCTCACAGAGTTTCTGTTTCATACCAAAGCAAGATCTGCCACTGTACTAATGTATTATAACAACTTTAAAACTCATATGGAGATTTATATACCTATATGTTACATATTGATATGGGACTGAAGCCAGAAATTTGGGGCTTTTTCAGCAAATGTACTTGTTCTCTCCCCTTTCATACGTGAGACATACACACATACACACACACAACACACACAGCAATACACACACATATATTTATCTATGTAAGTGATTATTTATATAAATATACATATTGACAAGCCACCAGACATCCCTTACCTCTGATGGCTTCGTGGTGCATCTCCCTCTTCCGGAACACTCCAAGTCATTTGCATGGCTCTCCCCTGGCACACAGGTGCTGGCCTTCACCACCAGAGTTAAGCGCAAAGCCACAATAGATTTAGTAACAGAATCATTCACAAAACCTAAAAGAAAACGAGACAATGGGAAATGTAAAGATTTGCCAACACTTTCTACAAGTCTAGGAATTTGGTAGATAGGATTTAAGTCTGACAGCAAAACAAATCACAGTGAGGCAAAGGAATAAAGCACATGACGGCTGTCCATTTGGACCCAGGTCGTTAAGACAGCCTGATCTTCCCAAGCCTTGTGGGAACACCCAAGGCCAAGGCAAAGGAGCACCGGGAACTTCAGTCATTATCTCAGATCCTTTCACTTTGCTCCCACCCTTGCCCTCTGCGGGCCACTTTGCTCATCAAATGCATTCCTGTGCTCGTGTATTAGAACTCAACTTCTGATTTTGAACCTTGGGTTCCTCCCAATTTGCCTGCATCAGCCAACTCTTCCTCTGGCCACTCTGGAGAGTCACATATGCTGAAAATCCCAGGTGTCACCCTACCCTAACAGCTCTCAGTCCCCTTGCCTGGAATATGGGTACACACTCTGTGTTGGGTTGATTAATGAATACCTTATTTGATCATTAAGCTCATCATATGATACCAATTTAAGCCATGAAGTTTTAGCCATCCAATAAAATAAGACTAATCTCAGTTGAATATTGATTGCGGTATCAAAGTTACATCACATTTATCACTGCATGATCTTTTTGTCTAGTGTAGCAATTTGTACATAGTAGCGAGTAATAAATATAGAATAAATTGATGACTAAATAATCTCTCTAACTGAAGTGAAGAAGCAAATACTATAAATATTTTGCATCGATATTTAGGTTCCTTCACTAAGTGATCATTTTCTTCTAGTAAGAATATTTATGTATGTCTACTATTTAATTCCAAACAAAATAGACACATAAGCTTGTGAATATAACGAGATAGTCAAGACAACATCTCAGTTCTGTTCAAGAGTTAGATCAAGTCAAGATCATTTATTTTAGTTCAGACACCACAACTTTAGAAATAGGCTTTGACAAGTTAGAAAAATATAGTATCCTGAAGCCCAAAATGAATGGTCTCAAAATGACTTTGTGGTCACCTTTCCTGTACTCTTCTAACAGTCTCTTTCCTCGTCATGTCAAGTTCCATGTTCTGACATACTCACATGCATGCAGTTTTATATTTATTCTTACAAATGCATCGCATTAAAATAATAATAAACTATGGGGCCAGCAGGTAGGATGGTGGTTAAAGCGCTGGACTCTTACATGACTGACCATAGTTCGAGTCCCAGAGCTGGTGGCTTGAAAAATCATGCTAGGCACATGTATGTGTATGCCCAAAACCTCAGTAGAAGAACGAAGGAGGAGGGAGGAGGGATTGTGGAACGGCCCCCCCCCGGTGGCTATTTCTCACTTGCCCTCTCATTGTCTTTCTCCATCTTCTCCCAGCAAGTGCATGCGCCTCATGCCAAAAAAATATTAGTAGATAATAATAACAAACTAGATAAGAAACAGAAGCCATGTCAATTTACTTTGCTTGCATGGTACCTAGCATCATATCGTTAATTGATAGTCACTTAAAATTCTGGGGGCAGGAAGCGAGGTGGTGGCTAAGGCACTGGACTCCTACTCGGCTGACCACGGTTTGAGTCTAGGACCCAGTGGCTTGAAAATTACATTAGGCATGTATGCATGCATGCCAAAAACCCTGAGAGGAGACTGAAGGGGAAAGGATGGTGGCTTGGCCACCCCTTCGGAGGGGTGAATTCTCACTTTCCCTTTCTCTGTCTCTCTGCAGCAAGCACACAGCCCTATTGGGGGGGAGGGGGGAGTTTCTACTTTTGAGAATAAATTAGCAACTTCTCAAACAGTCTCAATGTTCTCAATTTAGAATGCCTTGTACACTAAGATATTATACATTTCTAAAGCCCTTTATCACAGATTTATTCAAAATGTTGCCTGACACACTAGAGTTCACTTTTCATACTTTTAAAAAGAAGGGTAGCTTCTCTTTAAATTTAGCTTAAAAGTTAAAATAGACTTCCTTTTTTTTTCCTTTTCATACTTCTTTTCAAAGTTTTTTTTATAAAAATAAGGCACTGTTCATGGTCTCTCAGCTATTTCTGCTTGTCCTTAG